CCTCTGTCCCCCCTGTCCCTGTCCCGTGTCCCTGTCCCGCAGCTCTGGGACAGGACGGGACCCCGGTCCCCTCTCCCTGCCCCGTGTCCCTGTCCCCGTGTGCCCACGCGGGTCCCCCTGAGCCCCCGTCCCCCGCAGGACCCCGACTCCTCCGAGGAGCCCAAACCCGGCAAGGCCAAGACCGAGTTCCGCAACTACACCGTGAGTGGGGTGGGGGGGGTGTCCCAAAACCGGGCGGGTGCCGGGGGTCCCGGGGGTCCGCCGGGAGCAGCCCCGGGGGGCTCTGGCAGCCCGGGCTGGCTGGGGGGACACGGGGGACGCCCCGGAGCCCCCCCAGCCGCCGGTGCTGCCCCGCAGGAGGGGAAGCTGATCGAGCGCGTGTACAACACCTACCTGCTCATGCACACCCACCAGACCGTGGAGTTCGTCCGCAGGAAGGTGGGAACGGCCCCGGGTCCCCCGGTGTCACCCCGTGTCCCCCGGTGTCCCCCGGTGTCACCCCGGGTTCCCCGCTGTCACCACACTGCAGGGTGCCCCCGCCCGCACCCCAAATCCAGCCCCGCTGCCCCATCCCAGCCCCTCGGGGGGCACCGAGGGGCACCGAGCCCCTGCCCCGGCCCCACGGGGGTGGGCACGGCGCTGTCCCCACGCGCGGCGTGTCCCCAGAGCGCCCAGTACGGCTCCTGCTCGCTGCGGAGGATGAGCGTGATGGAGGCGCTGCAGCTGCTGGACCAGCTCGTGGACGAGTCGGACCCCGACGTGGATTTCCCCAACTCCTTCCACGCCTTCCAGACGGCCGAGGGCATCCGCCGGGCGCACCCCGACAAAGGTAGGGCCGGAGCCCGGCCGGGTCCCCGCCGGGTCCCGGCGCCGCGGGTGACGCGGCCCCGCTCGCCCCCAGACTGGTTCCACCTCGTGGGGCTCCTGCACGACCTGGGCAAGGTGCTGGCGCTGTTCGGGGAGCCGCAGGTGAGCGGCCCGCTGGGGAGGGGGTTCGGGGCGCTCCCCCCGCGGCCGGGGGTCCCTCGGGGGGTGCCGTGACCCCCGTGTCCCCCGGCAGTGGGCTGTGGTCGGGGACACCTTCCCGGTGGGCTGCAGGGTGCAGAAGTCGGTGGTCTACGGGGACTCCACCTTCCACGACAACCCCGACACCAAAGACCCCCGGTACAGGTGAGCCGGACCCCCGGGGGGTTTGGGGGGCGGGGGCTGCGCCCCCGGCCCGGCCGGGCTGTGGTGGGGGGGGGGTCCGGCCGCTCAGCCCCCGCCCCATCCCCAGCACCGAGTACGGGATGTACCAGCCCGGCTGCGGCCTGGACAACGTCCTCATGTCCTGGGGCCACGATGGTGAGTTTGGGGCGCTGGGGGGGTCCCTCCTGGGGCAGGACCCCCGCCCCAAATCCCCCCTCACTGCCCCCTCTGCAAGGACTGCAGCCCTCGGCGTGGGGCAGGGGCTGCTCTTCTGGGGGGTCTCTGTGACTCTGGGGGTCTCTGTGACTGTGGGGGTCCCTGCCCCTCTGGGGGTTCCCCCCGGTGGGGGTCCAGCCCCTCCCCACGCCCCCCCCCCACTTTTCAGAGTACATGTACCAAGTGATGAAGTTCAACAACTTCGCCCTGCCCAAGGAGGTGAGCTCAGCCCGGGGGGGGGCTCAGGGACCCCCGGGAGGTTTGGGGGTGCGGGGGGAGCGCCCTAAAGCCGTGTGCCCCCCCACCCCAGGCCTTCTACATGGTTCGCTTCCACTCCTTCTACCCCTGGCACGCCCACGGCGACTACGGGCACCTGTGCTCGGAGGAGGACCGGCGCATGCTGCCCTGGGTCCGCGAGCTCAAGTGGGTCCCGGGGGGCTGGGGGCTCGGCCGGGGCCCCCCGCGGCTTTGGGGGGTCCGGCCCCCCTAACCCCGACCCCCCGTTTGCCCCACAGCAAGTTCGACCTGTACACCAAGCAGGAGGAGCTGCCCGACGTGCAGCAGCTCCGCGCTTACTACCAGGGCCTCATCGACAAATACTGCCCGGGGCAGCTCTGCTGGTGACCCCACACCCTGCCGGGACCCCAAACCCTGCAGGACCCCCGAATCCTGCCCCAAAACCCTACCCCCCAAACCCTGCAGGTCCCCAAAACCTGCCGGGACCCCAAACCCTGCAGGACCCCCGAACCCTGCCCCAAAACCCTACCCCCAAACCCTGCAGGACCCCAAAACCTGCAGGATCCCCAAACCCTGCCCCCAGACCCTGCCGGGACCCCAAAACCTGCAGGACCCCCAAACCCTGTCCTCAAATCCTGCTGGACCCCAAACCCTGCCGGGACCCCCAAACCCTGGCCCCAGACCCTGCCGGGACCCCAAAACCTGCAGGACCCCCGAACCCTGTTGGGATCCCCAAACCCTGCTGGAGCTCCCAGACCCTGCCGGGACCCCAAAACCTGCAGGACCCCCAAACCCTGCCGGACCCCCAAACCTTGTTGGGATCCCCAAACCCTGCTGGACCCCCCAAATCCTGCTGGACCCCCAAACCCTGCTGGACCCCCCAAACCCTGCCGGGCCCCCCACAGCACCCCAAACCCTGCCCTGGGCTCTGCAATAAAGCTGCTCCTGCTGCCCCCCTGTGCCGCTCCCTCTGCCCCGGGCAGGACCCCCCAAATCCCAGGAGAGCGGCGGGGCTGGAATGTCAAAGGCTTTAATTAGAAAATTATAGGAAAGCTCTGGGCTCGGGCCGAGCCGGGCGGGGGGGAGCACCCCAAAGCGCCGGGGGGACCCCAAAGTGACGCGGGCAGGGTAACGGGGGGGCTGGCACTGCCCAAACTGCTCCAGCCCGCGGGCACAGAGCCCCCACCCGCTCTGAGCCCCCCACCGCCGGGTGTGGAGGGGGCCCCAGGGGCTCCCTGGGCACTGCAGAGGGGTCCCCCGACACTGGGGCCGGGTCCCCAAAGGGTCCCCAGACACTGGGACGTGGCCCCAAGCACCCCCCAAACCCAAGGGAGGGGTCCCCGGGGAGCAGGGACAGGTCCCCAGGGGTGCCTGGACACTGGGGAGGTGACCCCAAGGGACCCCCAGGCAGGGGGAAATGTCCCCAAGGGGTCCCCAGCCTGGGGAAGCTGTCCCCAAGGGGTCCCCTAGGCAGGAGGAGGTGGCCCCAAAGGGTCCCCAGGCAGGGGGAGGTGTCCCCAACCTAGGGAAGGTGTCCCCAAGGGTTCCCCTAGGCAGGAGGAGGTGGCCCCAAAGGGTCCCCAGGCAGAGGGAGGTGTCCTCAACCTAGGGTAGGTGTCCCCAAAGGGTCCCCCAGGCAGGAGGAGGTGTCCCCAAAGGGTCCCCAGGCAGAGGGAGGTGTCCCCAACCTAGAGAAGGTGTCCCCAAAAGGTTCCCCAGGCAGGAGGAGGTGTCCCCAAAGGGTCCCCAGGCAGGGGGAGGTGTCCCCAACCTAGAGAAGGTGTCCCCAAAGGGTCCCCCAGGCAGGAGGAGGTGTCCCCAACCTAGAGAAGGTGTCCCCAAAAGGTTCCCCAGGCAGGAGGAAGTGTCCCCAAGGAGTCCCCAGGCAGGGGGAGGTGTCCCCAAGGGTTCCCCCAGATACAGAGAGGTGTCCCCACGCCCTGGGTGTGTCCCCACGCCCTGGGCGTGTCCCCACCCGCACGGGCACACCCACTGAAGGCACTGGCACACACTGGCACCCCCCGGGCCGGGGTCCAAGAAGCGCTGTCCCCCCAGCCGGGGACTCCCTCCCTGGCCCCCCATTTCTGGGGGGCTGCGGGGGCTACTTCTTCCTCTTGTTGCCGTGCCGGCCCTCGGGCCGTGCCCCGTCGGTGCCCCGTGCTCCATCGGTGCCCCGTGTCCCCTCGGTGCCCCGTGTCCCGTCCGTGCCCCGTGTCCC